GATGGTCTTATAGGTCATTTCCAACCTTGTGATTCTATGATTCTATGAAAACCAAAAGCAGTTCCAGTGATTTTCATTACTTACACTCAAGCATTTCAGCTACACATAGAAATTGAACTTACAGAGTAATAAGTTGCTAAAGCCAAGGCTTGGGAGGTAGAAGCTGCCAGAATAGGGGTGATCTATGTTTTAACCAACAAAGTAAACATTCTGCAAATTCCCATCTCAGGCTGTGAGTGACTGAGCAGTTTTTCAGATCTACTGAATAAAACCAAATCATTTTGATCAAGAACAGACAAACTGGATTTCAATTATAGGTATTTGTTCACTAAGGATGTCAAGGCAATAAGACCGCAGAGCTGCCAGCCCTGTTCAAACACACAAAGCCTCCCTTTGCTCCGCAGGTCCAGCACAGCTTGGCACCATTTCATACCTGCTTTCTCAGGAGCCACCATCTCTGACGGGCTGGACACTGATGCCTGAAGAGAGAGCAGCAGAGCTCGAGGAGGAGCCCATCTCCTACAGCATCACCTGCTGCGACTTCACTGTTATGGGTGGAAGGGCAAGTGGCTGCTGCCAGAGGAGACGGGCTGCACCTGGCTCATGTCATGCTGCAGGGCCCTTTGCTGCTGCCTTTAAAGGGAGGCTGGGTGCAGGGCTGCAGCTACTCATTTCATCATTTCTTTTCCAATCTTAGGTAGCGAAGAATGAATTGCTGGAGAAATACTACAATCACGGAGGAAAATTTCTTACCATGCTCCCAGATGGAACAGCACAGTTATTGTATCCTTTATGGGGCTCATTTGCCCACAACAGTCCAGAGCTGTAAACACAACAGTACACAACAGTAGCTTTCAGTACATTCTATAATGCTGCCTATAATGGGGTAGCTTGGCTTACCACTTCTACAATCCAAAAAAAGCATCAGGGAAAGAGCTTACAGAGCCCTTGGAATCACATTCCTTCAGATCAGCCTGTAACTTCGAGGCAGAAAGGGCATCTGTGTGCTCAGTGCTCAGCTGAAGGAACACACCAGCCTGGCTGGAGACAGCTCTGCTCTGCCCTCCAGCTGCCTACATCCCAGGGCTGCTGCCATTTGTGGCTGTGGCAAATGACAAAGTGCCTCAAATGCATGCACTCCCAGCAGTGAGCCATGTTGGAGATGCAAGCTGTGAGGTGGAAAAGAACCACTGTTTGGATATGTTCCTGTTAGTTCCAGGGGCCAAAGCCATTTTCTCCCTCTGGTTGTTCCTTTTTTTTTTTCTTTGCGAGAATGGGACCTGCCCCTGTTTTCTCAATAATCACTCATATTAAGCTCAATTCTTCCCTTTGCCAGGCTTGTGCTTTCAATCCTAAGATTCCATAAATGTGTCTTTAAGGCTTCTAAGCAATTTTGCTTGGAATGTTGCTTAAAAAACTGACAAAGTGCTTTTTTTGTCAGTGTAGAGACAGAACAGAGAACATTTATGTAGGAAAGGACTTTGGTCCTTCCCCAGGCAGGACTGCAGCACACCACCGTTCTGCCTGCAGCACCATAACCCAGGCAATGCGTCAGTCTGTGCACTCCAAAGTAGCACTATGAGATACATGGTATGCAATTACCAATGAACCAGGCACACAAAGGTGTTGTGAACACCTTATCTGATGGTAGCTATCCATCTGGAAACCTGGCAGTCATCGTTGTACGAGAGAAAAAGCGGTTTGTTTGCATAGTGCAGGAAGACAAGGAAAGTAACACTGAGATACAGGCAGTATTTGCATCCAACGGCAGGAGCACCTGCTACCACCCGCACGGCACTGTGTGGTACGTTGGTGTCAGACAGCAGCTTTGTTCCCACTGCGCATTTTCAAAGATCATAAAAGGTATTTTTATCAGCACTCCAAAATTAAAAGGCAAACACACGACCGGGGAGATGTGATCTATAGGAAGAGGATGCGTGTTTTATAGACTCACCAATGCCATTGGGAAAAAGCAGAGACACAGCAGCACTGAGCTGATGCAGCATGCCCTTGTTGGTGGAAATTCTGTGAAGGCAGGACACCTTGGCTGGGAGTTGTTCACGACAAAATGAAGATTAATATTTTCTCTTTCCCTATTTCCTCTTCCCACAGTCAAAGGGCTGTGCCCCACTGTGTGCTGGGGTGTCAGGCTGAAACGTGTGCCAAAGCTTGGTGAACACTATGTGAGGTCCTGTATGTGCTGAGCCCTGAGCGAGGTCCTGTCCCTGCTGAGCGCTGGCACCATGTCCTGTCGCCTGGGGTGTTGGGGACAGCAGAGACGCAAGGTGCACCCCTCGCTGTGGAATGTTGGTTTTTCTCTCTTTTAGGATAACGATGAACACTAAAGGAGGGCAGTGCCTGGACCGGGCAGGCAACAGGGTGAAGAGGTGGATGTGGCCAAGCAGTACAGCGTCATCAGGACCCTGTGCCCCACTGAGCCCCATCTTCCTCTCCCTGAACCTGCATGTGGGGGTCAGGATCATGGGCCAGGATAAGATCACAGTTTCCTTCCTTGCCATGGGACAACAAGCAAAATTCAACGTGGGAACAAAAGTGCAGGTATTTCTTACATGCACAGCCAGCTGCAAGCAGGGCAGCCAGGGAATCTCCCTTACCCATGGAGGTGCCTCTGCATTGCCCCAGTCTTGGTCCTGCTTCCAAAGCAGCTCTGATGCCCTCTACTCCCTCAGGGCAGCCAGGCTGGCCAGCTGCATGCCCTCCCCAAGCTGAATGAGGATGAGCTCCTGCTGCTAGCCTTGCGGGTGAGGATCCTGCGGCTCATCGATAAGCTGCGTAGCTGCCTGAACTTCCCTTCCAATGAGCAATGGGACAAAATGAAGCCACCAGTGTACCTTGTCACACAGACTTTAAAGATCTTGCACCTTTGCACGACTTCTGACATAAGCGAAGAGCTGTGCAGCTCAGTCAGGGCAATAGTAAATGCTCCAGTCTGAGCAGCATGTGTGGTGTGAAGCCAAAGTGAGTTGAGCTGGCCTAGACAGAGAATTCTGATGCCACAGTGCTGGCAGGCACTGATCCCGGTGCCCCACAGCCCTGCCTGCTGCGGGCCAAGGGCACTGCAGTTGTGGGGCCATCCTGCTGATGGAACAGCTCAGGGTGGGGTGCGGCCAGCAACAGGTCACGTTGTGTCAGCTTGTGGTGAGGAGCACCTTGGCTGGGAGGTTTTGTGCAGGGCACATTGACTGTGTGCGTGGTGTCAGAGCACTGCTTGTCAGCGTGCTCCCTTCTGTCTCCCAGCAGCAGCCAGCCTGGGCTGAGCACTCATTTCAGTCCATAAATTTGGCACAAAGATAAAAAGCAAACAGCTGAGGCACAGCCTGTGACAAGAGTAGGGGGAAGAAGTGTTTTGAGGCCACAGCATGGCACTGCTGCACTCAGCAGCACTCATAAAGGGTATCCATGTTCCCCTGCTGGGAGCACTGCAGTGTGTCTGGCCAGTTGCAGGCACAGCACAGCACACAGCAGTTCAGTTCAGCCCACTGCAGGCACAGCACAGCACAGCATGCAGTAGTTCTCCCATTCACAGAGGATAAAAGGCCACAGTTTAACCAAAGCAACCAACAGCCTCAGCAGCATTTGCTCAGGTGCAGGGGCAGCGGGCAGCCCCTGGCATAACATGAGTGGCTGCTGTGGGGGGATCTGCTTGCAGTCACATCAAGCACTACTGTCCCACTGCAGACCCTGCAGTCATGAGGGTGATGGGATGCAGACCCCTCACAGCCCAGATGTCCTGGGCCAGCTCCCACCACTCACGGTGTGGATGCTGGAGGCCACGGGCTGCACTCGGCCCCTCTGCCTGCAGCCGAGCAGTTTGGCGAGGTGGCTGCGGATGTCTCTGCTGTGCAGGGCATAGATGAGAGGGTTGAGGAGGGAGTTGGTCTCGCCCAGGATGAACAGCGCGTCCTTGAGTGTGTCAGACAGGTCACAGGAGCGGCAGGCAGCCTGCACGGTGCCCCCCACCAGGTACGGGCCCCAGGAGAGCCCGAAGCCGACGAGGACAAAGAGCACCGTGCGCAGTGCCTTGAAGTGGCGCAGGCGGGCACGGAGGGGCCTGGGCTGGGCGCAGGAATGAGGCGACCGTGTGTGCTGAGCATAGGCAATGCTGCACACTGAGACGTGTAGGCACAGCAGCACTAGCAGGGATGGAGCAAAGACACCGAAGCAGAGGGTGTAGAGATACTCACTCGTGGCCACAGAGAGCAGCCCACAGTAGCCTGTGTAGTTGCTTTGCTGAAGGGAGGGAAAAATAAGAGGCAAGTGCCCAAGGAGGAATGCGAACATCCAGAGGAACATGAGGGAGAGGGCCACGGGTGCTTTCTTCACAAGCGTGCGGTAGGAGAGTGGCAGCCTCACTGCCAAGTACCTGTCCAGGGAGATGAGCAGCAGGGTCAGGATGGAGCCAATGCACGGCGTCATGGTCAGTGAGATGCGCAGGAGGCAGAAGGACTTGCTGCGGTCAAAGTCCCCATCTAGAACATCATCCAAGGCCTCGGTGATGCACATTACACCCACCAGCAGGTCGGCAGTGGCTAGGTTGAGCACGTAGATGTAGCCAGAGCCTGGATGCTTCCTCAGCAGCTGGCAGACAGCCACAATCACCAGCAGGTTGGCAGGAGGGATGAGGCAGCTGAGCAGCGCATGCAGCACAGCGCACAGCACGCTGACCATGCTCCCTGCTGCAGCCCCAGCAGAGGAGCCCTGCAGCAAGATGTGTGGCTGTGCTGGTGAGAGGGGACAGAAGTGCCAGCCCCCCACAGTCGCACACTGGCCACAAACACCTACGTCAGTCCTCTAAAAGGCACTCTATCCATTCCAAAAGATCTCTGCAACCATCCCAGATTCTGCCTGTTGCCGGTGGCATTTTCAGCACTCCCAGCCTCACTACTTCCCATCAGATTTCACTCCACGCCCAGGGGGATGCACCCAGGGTGCCAGATGGCTGATGCTCCCACCCATGCTAGGCAGGGAGGAGCACTGTGGGCCGGGCTCCCGGCACCGTGACACAGGGTGAGGAGCGGCTTCACCAAACAAAGCCGAGGCAGGCAGATGGCTGCTGTACAGGCACCTGTGGACAACATGGTCAGGAGCGTGACGCAAGGCAGGCAGAGCCAGGGCAACAGAAACACTGTTCTTGTAGGCTGCACAAGCATTGCAAGGCCACCAGCTGCATGCAGCTTCTGGCATGGGAACAATGCACAGCCTCCACACCGCAGCCATGGGTGGGAGCACGTGGGAATGGGGCAATGGCAAAGGAAGCCAAGGACCTCTGGTGCCTCATCCATCACAATTGCTTCCTGATGGCCCTAAACCAAGCCTGCCATTTTGCAGAGTAGGACGTTAGACCCTAAGTATATGCTTCTGCTGAGGCATTTGCAAAAGAGAGAACAACAGAAGAGGCAGCCTTTTCGGGCTGCGGTGCTGCAGCAGTTCCTGTGCCTGTGCTGCAATCTTTCCTGCACCATGATTGAGCAGCAGCCATGGCCCCAGGGCAGCTCTAAGGCCATGGTAATCACGGGAACACCACAGACATTGAGAGCACGGCAATACACAGACGGTCCTTCACTGTCCCACAGTTCATCAGGTTCTCCTGGCTATGGGTCAGAAAACATGTTGTATCAAATCAATTCTTACTATACACAGCTGTAAATGGAGCACATTTATAAGTTGCACAGTAGATGAGTTAAAAAAAATAAATAAATCCAATCTATGTCAAATTAGGCTCTGGATGAAGATACTATACTCATTAAATTAGTGCTTATAACAGGTTTGGAAATGAAGTTACCAGTCTAAGCCAGACATTGCCTGCAAGCTCCTCCTAATGAGCAGCATGATGGTTCTGCTAACAGCTCTGCAGACACTCAGCGGCCGCCGCCAGGCAGCCACACACCACACCCTGAGCCTCATCCCAGGGCAATGTAAGCTGCTCCTATTCTCCGTGTTTCCGTAACTGTATTCAGCAGTGCAAAGGGTACTTCTGTCTTCCCCGACCCACACACAGGTCACAGCAGCTCCACCACCTGTATGCCACTTTCCTTTGTGTTTAACAAGCCAAGCTCAACAAGCTTGAATCAGCCTATCAGAATCATTATTTCATATCAATTTTGGACACGGTGAAATTGATCTCAAGGGCTCGAATATGGCTTATTTACATAAATGGGTCTTTACACCTTCATTTTAAAATCAATAAATAGCACTATCCAGGAGAGAAGAGCTTAAAGCTGTGAATTTAACACCAGGACATCCTGTTACCAGCCCACAGTGCTGCTCATGGGACCTTTCCCACACCACAAAGACACACTTGGCATGGTGATCCAAGGAAGAGAAATCTTTTCAGGATTACTGAGCACACAGAAAAGAATACAGAAAGCCCTGTGCTGGGTGTTTTTCGGAGTCTGGGAGGCTGGAAGGGGTGCATGTTGCTTGCTCACACTCAGTATGGATGCACACACTCCTTGGATGCTGTGGGAGGCTGTTAGCAGGCTTGGGATGCCTGCTGCCAGAAGCCAAGCACAAGGAAGCACTGAGTTCAGACTGAACCAGCCCTCCTGGTTAAACCACCCCAATATTACACTGTCAGCTGGTGTCTGGGCCCCAGAATGTATTGCTCCCTTTAGTGACTATCAAGGCTCTTTTCTTCCATTTCACTGTTCAGTTTTTCAGGAAGCAGTGACCAATGAATAGCATTCACGGACTGGTCTCTCCATTAAACCAAATCTACTCAGTGGACCCTGCAGCCCAGAGCAACTGCAGCAGAACTGGAACACAGATCAGCCTGTGTCCTCCACTGAGAAGCCAAGGCTGAGCTTCTGGCACATTTAACAAACATCAGCAAAGGTTCTCACATTCCTAACCCCAACACTTCATTATGTGATTTTGCTCAGATGAAAGGAAGAATACTGTGGGCAGCGAACAGATCGTGGGCATCACCACGGTGACAGGCAAACAGCTCATGGAAAATCACAGCCTAGCAACACATCTGTGCACGTATTTGCTTTGTGTGATCTGTCTTAGGTCTATAACCAATGAGAAACTAAAAACTCTATCCACACTAGAAATTTCAGCTTATCTATTTCAGAAGAGTTAAAAAAACAATTTCATCATAGAATCAGACAGGTTCTGAGGCCACTGCATGTTTAATGATTTAATGGTTGTGATTAGCAACACCTTTATTGCAACTGACATAGCGTATTCTTTCAGTTGGATGGACAGAGTGTTGGGGTTACTCAAAACCTTACTTAAATGCCTCCGTAAGTCCCGAAGTGGGTCAGACAGTACTTACAAACAGTGACTGCTGTCCTCATTGGAGCTCATCTGATTTACTGCCCCAGCACACAGAAGCTCTCCCCCCTCCCCATCAAAAGGCAGTGTACGATAAGGAGGATCCAGGAAGCACAGAAGTAGCTTTACAAGGGGTGTGAAACTCTGTAGTTTGGAGCAAGGACAAAAAGCAGGAGGATGAGACATCTGTACCTCTGCAAGGTGAGACTGAGCATCCTGGGAGCTCAAAGCTTGACTGCCAGCAGCTCTGCAGTTTTCATAGAACCTCTAAGATCCCCAAGCCCAACCCATTCCACCATGCCACCAACCAGATCCCTCAGTGCCACATCTCCACAGTTCCTGAACAACTCCAGGGATGGCAACTCCACCCCCTGTGCAGCAATGCCAGTTCCTGGCAGCTCTCACAGGGTAAGATGGCCATAAAAGGGGCGACAGGAACAGCCAGAAGCAGGACCTGCAGTTCCAGCAGCTCAGCCCTGGCAGAGAACCAAGTGCACCATGCCCAGGAGAGGCCTCAGCTCCATCCTGGGGAGTCTGGGCTAGAGTTGCAGCGACTACAGTTTAGTGGACATGGTGGCAGTGGGTTGATGATTGCACCAGATGATCTTAGTGGCCTTTCTCAACCTTAATGATTCTATGACTACAGCCCCAGAATGGCACCTGACACTGAGGGGCTTGCCTTGGAAACCACCCCACCCCACACACAGTGCAGCTCCTCACACTGAGCAGCGCTGTGCTGTGCCCGGCCATCAGGCTTTGGGTCTGCAGTCTCAGGCTGCACACAGCCCCTGTGGCCACACAGGCACCTGCTGCAGCCCAGCAGGAAAAGGCAGCACTTGATGCTTCTGCAAACACTGCTGCATTTCCATGGAAAAACACCTGGGCACCAAATCCTAACAGAGCAAGGCTGCAGAAAGGGGCTGATACGAAACAACCAACACATCACACCATTAACGGCTTTGGGAAGGGGACTTTTTATGCATTTTTCAGTTACAGTTCTAAGAATATCATCACCATCAGTGACTCACAAGGTACTTCACACAGTCAATGAGAACTCTTTATTTCAATTCCATTTCCTATTTCTGTTTTGGACAGTAGAAAGTCCCAGCTTTTAAACTCTTCAGAATGGCCACGGGAAAACCTCTCAAGCTGGCCAACACCACTTGAAAAGCAGCTGACTAATTTTTACTGAATTCACAAAACGATGCAATTACTCTGAATATAATTTCGTTCACATAATTTAGTATACAAAGCACTGTTCAACTCTGCCATATATTTTGAAAAATATACAAACCTGCTTTTACCACATCAGAGATATTTGACAGGCGGCTGTCGATTACTTAACAGTTTAGGACAACATCAGACGTTCCTGTAACTTCATTTTAAACTACAAAAAGAACATAAATCCATATAAAATACAACAGATTAAACAAACTTTTTCCAAGGGAAAATCAGGTATCAACTCAATCTGCCACCACGTGAAACATGAATATAAAATAAGTTACAATTAGTAATGCCTGCATTGTTGAGCTATGAACTGGTCGAATGAAATCTTAAAAAAACTATACAGTATTATTGCACTCCATGAATGTGCAGTATCTGGAAACACGCCAGCACTGAAAGAGCTCTTTCATTAAGGTTTTTGCAGGAGGCACAACGTGACTGCAAGAGAAGCATCCAGTCTGTACCAACAGCAAGCTGTCTTCAGTACAGGCCTTCATTGGTCCGAGACACGCGGCCCTGGAAATCACCGCTTAATGCCTGGAAACAGAGACACAGCAGCACCATCAGCAACAACGCCGGGGTTTGGTCAGCCAGACCTAACAAAAAGGGTACATCTGCAGAAGTCAGAAATCAGTGATTGCTCTTATTTCCTGCACCAGCACTGCCAAAGTAACAATCTCTCTGAACCCCCTCCCCATTCCACAGAGCTGCACGAGTATCAGTGGAGGGAGAGATCAATCAGGCAGGAATGTGGGCTTAGTGATCAGCAATCTGAGCTCTGAGCAAAGAGGAACAGCACAGCAAGCCCTGTTTGCAGAGCATGGTTTCCTGCAAAGAGTGAGGCTGCCTGAAGATCCTGGGCAGTGCTCAGACTTCTCCAAAGCATACCTCCACGTGCCAGGTAACCGCCAGTCTGCAGAAGGTGAATCGTTAAACAGAGCTCCAAAGAAAGCCTGTGAAGGTGTCTGAACACAGCCGGGTCATTCACTACCACAGGTGGGACCAACTGAAAATTCCTAGCACTTTTTTTCCTTTTAACACTTTTAAATGAACAAATATCAAAACCAATTCACATCTGAGTCAAGGGCCACCGGTGACCAGCGCAAGACTTACAAGAAGTTTCAGTGCTGATAGATGAGGCTATGATCGATGGTGAGGCATTGACTCCATGTGCACATTGAGCTTCATTTCATTATCAAGAATTTGTACAAGCTGCTGCATGGAAGGAAGGTGGCCAGACTCTAGCTTAGACCACACTGGAACATCTATCACAAAACACAGGAAGGGAGAAAGCACAATTACACTGAGAAAGTCAGAAACATGTCAGGCTACATTAAACACAACATTTACAAGACCACGGAAGCTACGCAGGCTAGTACTACTTCATGTTAGAATATCTGCCTCAACAGTGCTTCAGGTCTTTGGATCTACTACAATACAAACCAAGAGTCTAGCGCTTCCATTTAGAAGTCTATCGTATGAATTTAGCGATTGAAAATATCCATTCCTGTGAACAGAATGTCTAAAAACATAACAGTGAGTGGCAGGATAGCATACCAAGTCTCTAAACCACAGCCCCAGGAAGGCTCTGCTACCAATTCAAACCTGAGATTTAGAACCAAGTTCATCTACTCTGACATAGCGTGGTCAGTCTTTACAAAGGTTCTGCAGTATATAGCTTGACTTAGAAACGACGACACCGAAATGCAGCCTGCATCATTATAAACTGAGAAACAAAATACTGAGCTAGACAGACTCATACCTACAGCCTGAAAAATTCTGTACTCCAGCAAGCTTACATAATCCCTAAAGCCACAGAATTACTCAAAGGAGAAGATCCACAGACTCTCAACCTGAGAAATCATACTGCTGTCCCCTGGTAATGGAAATTCTGGGGATACCGGTAGCTTCACTGTGACTGAAAGTCTAAGCCTTATTATAAAACAGGATAGGGAAAGCATCTAATGAATTGTTTCCCCAGTTGCTGACTTCTCCTTTAATGCACATTACAAGCAAAGAAAACATAAGATAGTTACTCCATGTGACCAAATATTCCCTTAAATACATTTTTTTCATTTTTAAATAGATGTAATTAACATTAATATAAACTGCATTATTGGACATACATGATTTTCATCAGTCATTATAACATCTGAAGCTTCAAAATGGAAGGCACTGCCACACACATCACATTTCACAGCACCACCCTCCCCCCTCCTCCTGACAGCAGCTCTCACAGATCTGAGTGTACACATGCAGCACAATGACCCCAGAGCAGGAACTTCTCATCTCACCATTCAAAGTTATTTCAAATGCACCCGTTGACATACACTGGTTCTCAATCATGTTGCTCAGGAAGAAAACCATCATACAAGCATAAACCTGGAAGAGAACAGAGAGAATCCCAGACACTTTGGCCATGTAAGTCACAGCTTATTTTCTTCACTTGTAACAAGTGCTGCAAATGTACATACACCCCTGAACTTCCCTCTGCCATTTTATCAGGTAGCCTCAGGGTGGTACAGCAATCTTCCTTTCATCTTTTTTTTGCAAAGATTCTGCACACGATCTTCCCAAGGCAGACATCAAAATAGCTCTGAAGTCACCCAGCTCATAATCTAAAGTTACACCCTCCTGCCTCCTTCCTCCTCAAATCTTTGCCCACCTTAGCAGCCAGTCTGCAGAAGCACACAGCTAAGGCAGCACTTGCAGCACTACAAAGGAACACAGTAGGAGCTGTCCCTACAAGTTGCCTGTCATTTTCAGAGTAACACTCAGATTTAACACTGATTGTAGGGACTGGACAAGGCTAAATTTCTTCTGTTTGTGCCAACTGTCAACACTGTAGCATTTCTTTAAAGTGACCATTTAGAATTGTCTCTGTTGTAGTGTCTCAGGATGAAATGATGCAACCCTCAGAAACACATCACCTCTAATCCCCTTTCCACGCACATTCACGCTGCTTGCTGCAATGCCAATGGGGTTAGCATGGGGGACATTCATTGCTCAGACCATCACAGTACTGCAACCAGCCCAGCTCAGCCCTGCTCTGAGTTCCTGTAATCAAGCAGGATACATTACAACTTCTGTACCTTCCAATTGGCTCAAGACCCACCACACTGGGTAGCTGCTTCAGTGTCTGCACCAGCAGAATATGTAAAGGTTATCAAACTTAATATTGCTGCTTTTGCTTAGTAAAAAAAAATCTGGAATAAGGTTATTCTAAATCAGAGCACGATGACATGAATCCGTTAGCATCATCAGCACTGACTCACAGGGGTATTCATCCCACAAGGAACAGTCTGTCATGCCCAAGTATGTTCTGCAAAAAAACCCATAGAATTTCAGTTTGACTTTTCTAACCATGAAATTGCTAATTCATTAAAAAAATCTGATTAAAGCAACAACTGCAAAACAGTCATAAGACAACAGAGAAAGGAAGTGGCAGTTTTCGCAATACCAGCATGACACTCTACCTGAGCCATTAATAAATAAATTAATTAATAAATAAAACCACAGTGCTCTTAGTAACTGCAGCCTTCCTTCAGCAACCCATGTTGCATCTTTACCAGCAATGCTGACAGCAGATACCCCTGTACAGCATCACCAGCTTGAAAAAATGCTAGGAATCAAACAAAAAGCCACAGAAGCCCAAGGGCTCTGTTGAGATCAGCGTATGAAAGTTAGGTCAGTGACAGCACTCAGTTCTCCACAGCATTCTCACAAATCCATTCTGACATTGCTTTTCAAAAACAGAAGACAGTCTGCAGTTTACCTTGTTTTCTTGGCCCCACTGCCAGATGCTTGGAGCTTGCATGCCAAAGAAAGCAAATGGATCCTTGCCGACAATTATTAAGCCTATTAATACTAGCTTGAAGACAGACAGGAAGGATGCTATGTGCCTATTAAAAGACAACAAACAAAAGCAACTTAGAAGGTTCCCAGTTATGCTTCACCACACACTGCTACCTTTGCCTCATCGGAACGGTTTTCATAACGTGCCACTGTGCTTCAGAGGAAATATAAAACTTTTCAAGTAGATTGACATGACCATAAAGAGTTTATGTAGCCCAAAAAAGCAGCATGCATTCCAGGCACACACATCCCAGGAACCACCAGCGTGCACCCAGAGGCAGGCGTGCCCTTCTTTTCTAACCAGACCTCACACAGAAGCCTGCTTTCAGCCCACACGCATCTAAAGCGAATGATCCGGTTTGTATCTAGAAGAAGCTGTTCCACGTGACAGACACACGGCTGAAATGCAACACTTAGGACAGCGTTACGGTTTCCAGAACTCTGCAGTTCTGCGCAGGAGCGAGGTCTACAGCCAGAAAGCAAATTAACATTGCGGTTTTCAACCCGGTACCCTTCCAAGCGTCGTCACCATCACGGCAATGAGGCCAGGAACCGTTCACGAGCCGCCGCACGAACTGCAGCAGGTCTCCAGCCCGCACAGCCGCGGCAGCAGCGGCACACGCGCAGTTTTCGCGCCGCGCCTCAGAGCCCGGCGCCGCAGGAGCCGCACGGCCGCAGGCCGCACCGCCTCAGCCGCGACGGCAGCGACGGGAATTTGCGCGCAGACCCACCGCGACGAAGAGCCGCGAAACGCCGCACGGATGCGGCACGACGGGCCGCACCGCCGCCCGGCCGCCGGAAGGCGCGCAGCCGCACGCTTCCAGCCGGAGAACCGCGAACGAACGCCGGCAGCCGGCGAGACGGGCGCGCGCAGCGGGAAGGCGGGCAGGACCGGCGGCGCTTACCTATAGATGGGCTGGGGCAGGTAGTTCTCCCCCTCGATGCGGATGTCGGGGTACCGCTGGCTGATGACCCGCATGTACTCCTCAAACACCCGCCGGTATCCTCAGGACACGCTGCGTGCGGAGAGGCGCCGTCACGGGGCGGCCCGCAGCGCTCCGTCCCGCCGCCCGCCCCCCGCCCCGCAGCCGCGCCAGAGCCGCCGCCCGCCCCCGCGGCCCAGGGCCCGGCCGAGCGGCTGCCGAGCCCGCCCGGCGCCGCCATCTTGCGGCGCGCTCACCAGATCTGGAACTTGAGCAGCGGCCCGGTGGCGTAGGCCATGCGCAGCTTCTTGGCCGGCAGGCCGCCCTGCTCCGCCGAGCCGCCCGGCCCCGCCAGCGCCGCCAGCAGCAGCAGCAGCAGCCCGAGCCCCGGCCCGGCCGCCCGCATCGCGCCCGCCGCACACCAAGGTCACGCGAGCGCCGCGCACTCCGCGCATGCGCCGCCCGGCCCCGCCCCGCCCCGCCCGCGAAGCGCGGCCCTCACACGGCGGGGGGAGACGGGGGGAGGGAGACAAGGGAGAGAAGGCTGGCGAACCCGCTCCGCTCCTCAGACCGAGCGCTCGTTTCTTTTCGCACCGAATTCGGCATTTAAACCCTTCCCCGTCGCGGAAGCACGCAGCCACCGTGAGCCGTTACCGGGCGTGACTGCGAGCTGCGCCATGAAGTAACGCTGAGGAGAAGGCCGCAGCGGGATCGCTGTGTTACTGCTGACGGCTATTTTGCGAATTCTGCCCCGGCACAGAAGAACAGAACCGCTTTTTCTATTAAATGCTCTTTATTTTTATCTACATCCAACGACAAACAACGCCTCTCTTTAAACAGAACGCAGCTGTGTGCGGTTGAGGCTCTGCTCCCGGGGCAGAGCAGGGCAGCAGCACTGCTGGGCGCAGCACACCTCACACAGCGCCTTCGGAAAGCTTTCGAAAGGCAAACGTGCAGCAAATCTGTCAACATCAGCATCTTCAGTCATCGTTGAAACTTTTCATGGTGTTCAAATTAATACGCGTTGCATTGGGGGTGAATTTGTGCTAACAGCACACGTGAAGTTTCACAGACCCAGCTCCAAGTCCTCCAATTCCTGGAGCAGAACACTTTCCTTCTGAATCTTCTCCAGCTAGAACAACAAGTGCAATGCCAACAGCTGAAGCTCATACAGGAAAGCAAAACAGCAGTAGCTGCAGAAGTCCTGCACTCCTCCCCGCCCAGCAGCATCGCTACACGGCCACAGCTCAGGTGCCTGCTTTGAAAGCTCCCCATGAAACAGACACTGCATCACTGCCTAACTGCTGTGAAAAGCCTAATACAGATTTTTCATGATTGTTTGATAGTAGGCAGAACAGTATGTAAAGAGGAATCTTCAAGTCCTGCAGGCCCTGGCAGAGTATGCCCTGATTTAGCTGACTTGGTTATCACAGCAAGTCATAGCAGAGTGCGCCTACTGGCTCTCTTTGTAGCTGAAGTCAAGTTGGGAACCCAAAACTGAGTTTCTAATGCATTGCACTGCCATCGCATTGTCCAACGCAGTTGTACAGATTAACTCGCAAAGAATGGGAGGAAACATGGCAAACGAGACTTACAATATACCCAGGAGCAAACAGCCCTGCCACAAACAGAGCAGTGTGTGCTCTACACACAAAAATGTATGTATTTTCTTTCTGAAGATGCAGGATTTCACTTCACACGTTCTTCCTGTGGACCAACTCCCTTTCCAATTGTTTAAAGGGCCAGAAGTCAGATACCACAAGCTCAAGCAACCCCATGGTTTTTCCAGACAAGGTCACTGTAAGGCCAAGGTACAGCCTAGCAATTAAACACTTGTTTTGCCATTCCATTAGCACTCTTTGTCAGTGTTTGCATTGTATTTTACATAACACACAGAAGTTGTGGTTACAGCACAGGTGGCCACATGATGAATGCTGGGGACCACCTCACTGCAGGGCAGGGGGGTGGTCAGAAACAGAGGTAGGGATCCCAACTAAATGAACAGCAGGTATGCTCTGTGCATTCTTTTGAATGCTCGCTGCTAAGAACTCCTTGTCTCTGAGTTTGAATTTGAAAGGATGCAACAGGTCAAAATCTTTCAAAATTTAAGCAGTACCATCACAAAGAACTATGTAGGAAATGCAGGGGCAAAAAAAAACAAACAAGTGAACTAGTGAACTGTACAAATCTCAACAGTACCTGATTTTTCTCAAGCTGTTTGCCAGCAGCTGCCTGCTCTTTCAGCTGCTCAATTGCCTTTAGTTTCTGTTAAAAAAAAAAAAAAGAAAGAAAAAAAAAGTATATAGGTAAGCCAAAACCAGAAAAAGAAAGAGAGTCACACACATTTCTGCACTTGCAATTGCTAGATTTACTAGGAGGCTTATCTCAGTATGGAAGTCACTTTTCCTTTAAGCATCTCCAGATGCTCATTCCAGAATACCCCCACCAATAAGTGATTTTTTTTCCCCAAGAACAAGACATCTTAAAGAACAGGAATACTTGTTTCTGAAAAACACCACGCACCACCTGACTGAAGGGCCAAATGCATTTTCAGAAACAACTCCTCCATCACTATTCCTCTTTACTACACATTCTCTTTGGAAGGCCTGAAAAATCCATCAGAATATGAAATGCAGGAGGCAGCCAAGAGGAAAAAAACCTCTCATGGATTTCACAGGAACAGAGAAGATTCTCTAGCCTGAACAGAGCAACTTCCAAGCTGAAATTATTTAAATTTGAGAATTTCCAAGACCGGCAGTAAACTTTGCATTCATACCACTCAGAAGTTAGGGAAGAAACTCAAAACCACATAGCAGTTTCTTTCTCAGATTCAAGATCCAACAACACTTAGAACATGCTCTCTTTTTCTCAAGGACAAAACAAAAAACTCTTAAGTGATTAGAGGAAGAAGAGGATCTGTCTTGCTTAGAATCAAAGCAGGTTCCATTTGGGGTTGGTGAAAGCAGACCAAGAACAGGAACTTCATACAGGTGCTTTTTAAGAATAAACACAGTCAAGTTCTTTCATTTGTGAGTATTCTGTTGCACATGCAGTAATATTTGTAACAGCATAATGGAATACTCTTTCATGCACTTTTGAGCGGCTTCTTTACTGTCTAGGCTGACAAGAGCTTTAGGAGACATAGTAAATTATGACTTCTACTATTTTACAAGATGGAAAAGCAGAGAAAGTTGGTTGACAAATTCAGTAAATTGCCATCTATGTAAATGCTGTCCTACTGAGCTCAAGTCACATTACAATCAGACTAGATCTTAGAGACCATCTCTTACAGAAATAAATCCTAAAATAAAATAAAATCCCCTTACCTTTTTTAAATTCTTTATTTTCTTGTCAATTTCAGGATCTCCTGATGTCACAACAGGCACAGCACTTCGTGGTGTATTCTGTGATGCTGAAGACTGTGTGGAGTCCTGACCGCAATCAGTTTTGGCCTCCTGTGAGTAAGTTTAAATATATAAAACACTATCTACCGATTACAATGGACCTGACAAATCTTTTCAATCATCTGAATTAATCTATTTAATATTTCTTCCTTCTCTGATTTGTTAGTGTTTTCCAAAATTTGTAAATGACTTGCCGTGATGTTTTGTGCTACATATTATAGAGGTAATGGCTCTTTTCTTGGAATGTCATCCACATTGTTTCCTGTCCAAATTCTACTTCCTGTAGACAACAACCATACATAGTGTGGGAAAACATCAGTAAGGGTGATGTGACAAACAGTTTATAGTCTGATGGGTCATTAACTCTGAAGATAAAGAAACAGGTCTAAAGTGGTGTAAGAAACATAAAAACCCAACCTTCTATGTTAATTCAGATCTTTGTATAAAAATTGCAGGTGATTTTTATCTGCTTAGCTGAAGAACAGCAAGCAAAGGGGTGAAACAGAAGAACAGAGCTCTCTGGTCTGCCCTGGTAATCCACCACAGCCCTGACCTGCAGAGAAAGGCCTTTCTCACCTTCCCAGTCTGGACAGACTTTGTGTATTGCCAGAAGGTGAAAAGGCACAATTATGTAATCTTAACATTTGTTTCAGCTAACGTTTACAGCAACTAACCACAGCTGTCATTAAGTCATCCTTTTACATCTTTTTACATCTGCCTTAGTCTAATTGAAACAGACCACCCACCCCAGAAGAACACCCATGCCAAATCAGCAGATGGTTTTCAGGGCAATTAATATCACTACTCTGAGGCTGATCAGTGTCATTGTGAAAACTGATTTAACATTATCCTTGAAAGAATAGCTTTTGCTGTACCTGTTTAGCAGCTTTCTTTGCTTCATGTTTCTTTTGATTTTTCAGAGCTGTTTTAGACAGTGGCTTTTCACTGCTTCCTGACTGTGGTTTCATATTCTGAGGTGGCTCATCCTCATGCTGCACAGAAAATCACATGGTAAGAAAAGAAAACTGGGTTGCTGGGTTAGTTTTGTTGTTGTTGCTATTTAGGTAGGTTTTTCTGGGGGGTGAGGGAAGGGTGACTGTTTCGTCTTTTGTTTTTTCTTTTCCCTCTCCCAAGAAATTTATTTTTCTAGAATAAATTCTTTCAAACAGGGAGCAAAGTATCAGTCAAACAGGATTATCAAGAAAACCTCTAAAAAAGCCCAATAGCATTCCTCACCTAGTTACCCTTCTAATGTCTCTCATTAAAAATAAATACGTATTTGAGGCCAGGCTTCCAAAGACAGGGCAAAACAATGAACACAACAATTTAGAGCATACATGAAACAATCTACTTACAAGCTTGGAACTTGTTACAGGCTTGTTTCTCAAAGCCGGAGGTCTATACGCTTGAGCAGGTTTGGGCTCAGCACTCGGCAATTCACTTGGGACTGCCTGGTATTTCACTGCTTTCACTGGGAACACTCCATCCAAAAATGGCTGCCAGGAAACTTGCCACATTTCCTCATTTGATGGAACTTCATAGTTGTGTAAAACAGAGCCAGTGTAGTGCCATATCTTATACCCATTACTGACTCGCAGCCGGGGAGCGCATGTAGCTGTTACAATATGCTCCCCATCAGGGCACCAGGCAAAATAGGTGGAATCGGAGGCTACCGGCTTGGAAATGAGTTTGTAGTTTTTAACATCCCATACTTCCATCTGTCCTCTGAGATTTCCAAATCCTGCTAGTACCAGGATGTGTCCGTGGGGGCTGTAGTAGGCAGCATTGCGAGGGCCAGTTCCAAAATCAAACACAGGGTCACATTTCAGATTAAAAACTGTTGCTTTGGCAGGCATAAAACCATACACAGCACAAAACTCGACAGAATTGGGGTTCCAAACAACATCATAAATAGGACCATTTTTTGCTAAAGGAAAAGGAAAACATGCAGCCATTGTTATGAGATTATATTATTTTCACTTGTACTGAAAAGCTATCAATGATTCTTATCTTCATGCTCTGCTAAAATCCTATAATTTAATTACTGACTGAAAATGAGTTACACTAACAGTAGTGGCGGAAACAAACAGCATTATAGTCTCATAATTTTCGTTAAGGTCTGCAACAATAACTGCAACCATTCCAAATTACCTCTGTAATCTGTGTCAGCATCAGCACTTTAACACTAAGCATACTTTTTCAAGTAAAAAAAAATTCTTTTATTTTTCCTTGTTATTGAAGTATGTTATCTCAGGACTTTCTCAAACTCTCCTACTGGAAACCTGCAAAAACAGGAGTTTTATACCAGCTGGATACTAGTTTTTCTTCTTTTACTTCAAGAAATATTGTACAGCTCAGCTTATAGAGCATGAAGTATTGATTTAGGTCATCTTTGTACCATGGTCACGTGCAGTATTTCATAAGACAGATTTTAAAGTGGTTGAGGAAAAAAAAAAAAACACCATGGTTTGACACGTATTCATGAAAACATGATACTGCTGGAAGCTATTCTGGGAGTTAGAACACTAGGAGATATAAAAAACAATGGATTAATGATTGCGATTCATATAAGGTGTGCAGGGTCCACCATAATAACGTTTTGTAATCTGGATACATTTACCTACATTTCAGGTAAGTACCAAGTGCACCAACGGTAATTCTTAACTCGGAACATTGACTCAAAATATCAAACTGGTTCATTCTTGTTATTCTGAAGCCTCATTATCTTTTCATTTTTTCAAAAACTGAAAAACCCTCTGACAATGATAGCATGGAGAAAACTTCCAAATTGGACCTCAAAAGCAGCTAGATGATGAAAAATACCACACAGGTGATTAACAAACGTACTTTCAGTTCAAATTAAACACTGAAATTAAGAATGTCTTCTTGCTCCTCCCACTGTATCATTTTTATATCACAAAACTACCTCGGTTTTACTACACAGAGATGCAGAGCCTCCATTTTCCAATATACTTTAAAAAACTGCTCTCACTCTGTCCTAATTTTTGAGTAACAATCGATTGCATGTCTAAAACCCTATCTAGAACTATTCAATTTTGTAACATTTCAGATTCTCAAACATTAAGCTGGCTCCAGTGTCCAGATCTCTCCTTGACAAACAAAAACAGTTCTGCTCCTGTGCAGCCTCACAAATAAATTACTCGCATATTTTAATTAGTAAAAGCTGGTGAAACAGCAATTCCCACTATTGAGAGCTACAGTACAATGAGAAACGCCCGAGAGCTACTCACGCAGTTGTACGATGGCACTTTCCCCATTTGTTGCAATGTAGTGCAGAGTTTGCTCTCCATAGTATGAAGCACCTGTTTTGTCCACATCAGTGCTAGCTACGACCAGCACAGCAGTGGCTGGCAGAACACACACACAGTTATTTCAGTACAATTGCTGAATATTACATAAGCTTTTTCACAAGCTACCGTGCACAAAGAGAAATTAGTTTGACATTGAGTTTTACAATTAGTTGCCTGCATGTCAGTGCTGTTATCATTCTCTCCTCAAACTCTTCCTGGACATTAACCCAAATCAAACTAATATCCTTCCCGTCTGAGGAGAGTGGAAGCTGAATCACTGCCAAATTATGAGAAAATGAACGTGCTTTCACAGACATTAAAAAAAAAAGACGTTCAACAGCAGCAACAGTGTCTTAGGCTTTTCATCTAAGACAGAAACAAGGCTGATCATTAAAATGAAATGCTTCATCAACAGCTTTTGTATGCTACCTTACGCAGAAGGACCGCACAGAGGCCACGTGATACCTTCCCTGTATCCCAAACAACACGGGCTGAAGTAAAGCAGGTGCATGAGGTGGGGGACGGTGAGGGGGGGGGCAGTATTACTCTGCATCAGCTCATCACTCACAAACAGCAGAGCATGCAGAGGACTGTGCTACTCATCCCAATCGTGGTATGTCTGCGTATCCATGATTTTACAAAGTAAAAATATTATATCAACGCATAAACTTACGTTTACAGCTTAAATGCATTACTACAGAATACAAAATTCAATTTGAAATTGCAATTCAATTCCTGAACTTTCTAGAGCATAGAATACCCTGAATTATGATCCAGTAAGGGGGGGGGGAAAAAAAATCACGTGT